GGACCGGCTCCATCCGGCGGCGCGTGGAAAACCGTGCACGGAGCGCGGACTCTCCATTGACAAGTAATTCCCTCTGAGAGCGTCACCGGCCATCCCAGCCAATCAGCGCCGGGCGCTCTGCAGCCTCTCCGCCCCTCCCACTCCTTATTTGGGTAATGACGCGGTGCGCGTGTTCAGAAAGGTTCCCCATATAAGCGCCGGGGCTTCAGGGCCCCCGCTCCCGCTACTGTAGCCTCCAGTTCTCCTCAGACATGCGCTGACCAGCCCGGCTCCATCAGCCTCAGGTCGGGTCACCGCCGCCTCTCACGGACACACGTGCACGCGCTTCCGTCCCGCCTGCTGTCTGCGATGACGGCCAAAGCTCTGGAGAAGGGGCCGCTGAACCTGGGGGGCTTCGCGCACCCCGCCGCTGACAGCGTGTACTCCGTGGACGAGCTGGCCTCCAGCCTGCCCGCGTCCGTGGCCATCTTCAACCCCAACCCAGAGCTGGCAGCCTACGAGCAGATCCATGTGGCGACAGGTGGGCTGCTTCATCCATCCATCCATCTATCTATCTATCTGTCTATCTATCTATCTATCTATCTATCTATCTATCTATCTATCTATCTATCTATCTATCTATCTATCTATCTATCTATCTATCTATCTATCTATCTATCTATCTATCTATCTATCCACCGTAATAGAACTGATGAAAAACTTGTCTGGATGTTAAATAGATGAAACTCCTGTGGGTTTGGGGGCCGTTATCTTTGCGGTGGGGGCAGTGGGGGCAGCTTCTGACCTGTCCTGTCCGCAGATGGCTTGCTGGGCGCAGACATGAGCGGGGACAAGCGGCCCGTGGACCTGTGCGCGTACTCCGGCGCGTTCCCGCAGCCCGCGGCCCACCGCAACCAGACCTTCACCTACATGGGGAAGTTCTCCATAGACTCCCAGTACCCCGGGAACTGGAACCCCGAGGGAGTCATCAACATCGTCTCGGGCATCTTCAACGTGGCCCAGCCGCCGCCCCCCCCCGCCTCCTCCTCGGCCTCCTCCTCTCCGGCCTCCTCGGGCTCTCCGCATCACTTCTCCGGCGGAGCCGTGAGCTGCAGCATGGCGGCCCAGAGCCAGCCGGACATGGAGCCCCCCCACCACCTGTACTCCCCCCCGCCGCCCTACTCCGCGTCCAGCTGCGGGGAGATGTACCAGGACCCGTCCGCCTTCCTGTCCACCTCCAGCTGCCCCATCGCCTCCTACCCGCCGCCCTCCTACTCCTCCCCCAAGCCTCCCGGCGGCCCGGACCCCCCCGGGCTCTTCCCCCTCCTGCCCGACTACTCGGGCTTCTTCCAGCCCGCCTGCCAGCGCGACATGCACCCGGCGGCCATCCAGGACCGGAAGCCCTTCGTCCCGTGCCCGCTGGACACGTTCCGCGTGCCCCCGCCCCTCACGCCGCTGAACACCATCAGGAACTTTACGCTGGGGGGGCCGGGCGCCGGGGGCTCGGACGGGGGCCCGTCGCGGCTCCCGTCCGCCTACAGCCCGCAGAACCTGCCCCTCAGGCCGATCCTGCGGCCCCGGAAGTACCCCAACAGACCCAGCAAAACGCCCGTGCACGAGCGGCCCTACCCGTGCCCGGCCGAGGGCTGCGACCGCCGCTTCTCCCGCTCCGACGAGCTGACCCGCCACATCCGCATCCACACCGGACACAAGCCCTTCCAGTGCCGCATCTGCATGCGCAACTTCAGCCGCAGCGACCACCTCACCACGCACATCCGCACGCACACGGGCGAGAAGCCCTTCGCCTGCGACTTCTGCGGCCGCAAGTTCGCGCGCAGCGACGAGAGGAAGCGGCACACCAAGATCCACCTGCGGCAGAAGGAGCGGAAGTCCTCCGCCGCCTCCTCCTCCGGCCCCGCGCCGGAGCGCGCGCCCGGCGCGGGCACGGAGCCCGGCCTGGACAGCTTCGACTCCATGGCGGCGCGACGCACACTAACGCCCAAAATGTAGGAGCCGGTCGGTCCGGGGCGGCCGCGGGCTCACTTTAACGGACTAATCCGCGTGTGAGAGGAGATAAATAAGTGCTCCTGCCCAGCCGCGCGCCGCCGCGCGCGCGCAGCCGCTCGGCCGCAGGAGAGAGCGGCTGGATGCACTTTGCCCGCGTTGTGAACTGAACATGTGAGGAAAAGTCCTCATCCAGAAGAGCTCCGAAAGCTTTTCAGATGAACCTTCCAGACTTTTGGTGTGCGCGCCACCCTGCGCGCGCACGACCGCAATAAAGTTTGAATTAAGTTATTGGACTGACATGAGCCCGTGAACGCGGCGGTTCCTCTGCAGTGCCTTGTTGCGTCGGACTGAGGGACGCTCTAACGCGCGTGAACTGCTCCTAACCCGTGAAGACTTCTATTTTTATACGCGTGTCCCGTAACTCAGAGTGTTGTGTTCCATGTGTAAAAAGCAGCTATGTGTACATACTGAGCTCTGTCTGTCTGTGGTTCTGTGTGTTTTAAGACTTATTAAATGGATTCCCTGATCTCGCTCTGGTTCCTTCAGCCGAACGCGCACGGGGATAAGTTAGACCTGCCGGGGTAAACCCCCCCGTGCGTCAGCGCTGGTTACTCTGACTCAGTTTTACCCACTCACTTTTTATTTAGGTCCCACATAGGGCACCCGCGGCCAACAACTGGAAGAAAAAGAAGTGTAACGGTGTGTGAGGCAGAGCGCGTCCCCGCTCAGAGCGCGTATCCTCCCTCTGGATAAAGGTCCAGTTTTTAGGGACGCAGACCTAACGATGCTCGTTTAAGATTACACTTATTTTCCTTCTTTTTTTCTTTTAGGCCTTTGTACCATAAGTCTATATTTAGTTTGCGGGGGCCTGAATAATTATTTCCCTTTTGAAAATGAACATTCTCTGGGGCGTTATTCAGATGGGGGTAAAAATGTACTTTTTTTCTTCCCAGAACCGCTTAAATTCAGGTTTCCATTCGTCGATCACCACGTTTTTTTCTCTTCGTTTCCACCTGCTTTCAGTGGTAATGCTCCGGAGTCAGACTGAAGCACGCAGAACTGAAGACTCCGTTTTTAATGAAAGACGCATTTCCCGTTTTAGACGGATGTCTGGTTCAGGGTGAATAAATCTGTATTTAACGATGCGTTCAGCTTAAACACGATTTGTTCTCTCAAACTGGTGATGATGATAATTATATTTAATACCAAAGTGACATCGATCGAGAACAAACAAATAGATACGGATTTTAAAGTGGTAACATTTAAACAAAAATACTTCAAACATTTTTAGGAGCAACACATAGGCTTTGAAAATTCTTTTGAATTTTAACAATTTAAATACATTTTCACGTCTTCTTTGTATGTGCTTTAAAATGTACAGTGTTTGATATGAATTAACCTCAGAAATGATCACAGTTTGTGATCATTTCTTTATTTCTCTGATGTTTATTACCGGGTCTGCTGGGCCGGGACAGGGAGCCCCTCTGAGACCCTGCAGGGAATAAGCGGCTCAGACCGGATGAATTACCATCGTTTATGAGTTGTAATAAACATTGTGATACTATTTATGATTGCACTTAAAGGCAAGTATAAGTTCTGCCTCCTCCAGAGCAGCACCCTGAGAGGAGGTCATGAGGGTTTGTTTCTCACAGATCCTCCGCTCAGCTCATTCACCAACACGGAGAAAAACAGCACAGCCACAACTAACTAAGAACTAGATCTGATCAGTTCTGGGCATTTTACATCAGACGTGCACATCTTTGAACATTTCTGAGAAGAAAAGATCCATGAAGAAAAGATAGACTGTAAAGCGTTTGTGTAAAAGCATCTAAAACTGCGTTTAGCGTTAAAACATGTGGAAAACAACTTTAATTTGGGGTAATTCTCCAGGTCAGATTTGACTGTTAGTATTACCGGGAGTCTTCAGTTGTCCTGTTTGAGGACATGTGTGAATGTGGCAGTTTTGTGAAATTGTTCTGAGAAACAAACTAAACTAGAACGGCCCACTTTGAATTAATCCCGTTCACCATTAGGTGTCCATTCCCTGTAAAGTAGTTATTGTAAAAGTCTAATCTAATGTGGGTTTAACGGCAGATATCCTAAATCTCTGCGTTTAAAATGGGTTTGATATGGGTTAAGAAACAGTAGAAGGGTGGTGTGTTTTTGTTATTCTTATTTTGAACATCAGCTCAGCTACAGCTGACCAGAGCTGACCAGAGCTGACCAGAGCTGACCAGAGCAGACAGTCTGTCTGAAGTTGCGTATTTCGTTCATCTCATTTGTTCCTTCATGTGATTTAACGTGTTTCTGGTTGGAGACTTTACATTTTTTCATGGTTTTGTGTTTTAGAATGCAAAATTAAATTAAAATTATGCAAAATGGCAAATTTTACTACTAAACTTGATAAGTTCTGCGGTCATTTTGTAAAAGGAAATAGTCGAACTGAACCCTATGTGTAATAAAAATGAAGTTTCACTTCATGCCTCTGTTGTTTAAACCCAAAATCATGAATAACTAATTTACAGAAAAGCATTCTAATGTTCATTATCCATCTTTAAATTCTTTATAAATTAATTTACACACACAAGTTTTTCCTTTGGGTTTGACTGTTTAATGGTCAGTGTAATCCCCAGAACTCCATTTTGAGGAGCTGGTAAACTAAGAAGTGTCTCAACTGGGAACAAACTGTTGTGGGAAATGGATGTGTAGTTTATTTAGTGTGAAAATATTATATATATATATATATATATATATATATATATATATATATATGTATATATATATATATCTGTTTGTGTTAAACATTTTATTATCACTTCCTGATGAGCTGCAAATAAGATAATAACAACTAGCTAACCAGTGCTAATTCTATTGAGAATCAAAGGATTAGTTGTTGGGAAAAAAGTTAGTAATCACTCATAAAGGTCTTTTTAAGAACTAAAGGAGGTTTCAGAAAACTCACAGCTATATCATAAACAAGATCATGTTCAGTCCTGAATGTATTCTGATAGATTCTACATGTTACAGGAGGGTGACTCTGGTCCAGAAAGTGAACTCAGTCATTTCTTCATGTGAAGTTTCCGTGTATTTCACATTTTAAGAAAATCTGTTGTAAACCATAAATACATCTGATATCTTTTCTCTTTGGTTGTCTGTCTTTTTAATTATCTTTGCAATCTACATGTGTATCCGATTAAAAAATAATCAAGATCAGAATGCCACAAGAGAGTAAGAGGGCTAGTTTAGGAACTATTCTTGCACCTGAGGAGTGTTTAAATAAGCGACTGGACCGCTGCATCACCAGGCTTTATCAGAAGAGTCTGGACCAGGTTTAGAAGGGTCCGGCTCCCTGAACCCTCTCAGAGGTCCAGCTGGTCCCTCCGGTCCTCAGCGGTTCTGGTCCAGCAGACCTGCTCCACGTTAAGACATCAGACTGTTTCCAGCTGCTGTACAGGGTACAGGAGGAAGGAAAACCGCTCTGTAAGCCCCCAAAACAACTTTAAAAGCCCCCAAAAAGCTGTAAAAGCATCCCAAAACTGTTTTAAAAGCCCCCAACACAACTTTTAAAGCCCCCAAAAAACAGCTTTAAAAGCCCTCAAAAACACCTTTAAAGCCCCCCCAAAAAGTTTAAAAAGCCACAAAAACAGCTTTAAAGCCCACAACAAGTTTTAAACGCCCCAAAAAAACTTTTAAGCCCCCCAAAACAGTTTCAAAGCCCCCCAAAACAGCTTTAAAAGCCACCCAAAAACAGCTTTATAACCCCTTAAAACAGTTTTGAACCCCCCCAAAATAGTTTTAAAGCCCCCCAAAAAACTTTGAAATCCCTAAAAGCAGCTTTAAAGCCCCGAACGCAGAAACAGAGACATGAACACGGGACATTCGGGGACTTTGGGTGGCTAAACCAGATGGGTGTGGGTTTCAGTTCCAGGCTGGATTCATCCTTAAACTCTGCATGAGTTTAGACTCTAGAATGAGAGGCGAGGCCTTGGTGAGCATCCCAGTGGGTTTTATTGTTTCATAGGTTCAACATGAAGCTCACACAGTCAGGGGGACGTCCAGGCCTGTGCGGGTCAGGGGTGGGCCGGACACACGGGGAGCAGCACGGTTCACACAGGAAACACGGGGGGGCCTCGTCCTAGAAAAACACGCCCTCCATTTCTAACACTGGCTCTGACACCCCCCCCCTCAGTCTGGACTCAGTGGCATTAGGAGAAAGACACAGGCCATGCTATCTACAATAAATTAGGCTATATAAGGAAAATAAAGCATGTTTAATGTAGTGTGCATATTTTGAGGAAGAAAAGATGGTCTGGAATAGTCTAGAAATATGAACAAAGAGGGAAGGAGGTGAGTTCCAGGCTTTGGCATCAAAATGTGACGATGATGAGGTAACATCCAGAAACATCCACCCATCCCACCCACATCCACACACACACACACACACACACACACACACACACACACACACACAC